AACATCCATTTCGAGGCGTAATATTCACGGCTCAAAGTTATCGCTGTATATTTGGTGGCATCAAGAAAGTATTGTGTACTATGAACTGTTAAATCCGAATGAAGCTGTCATTGCTGATCGTCATTGACAACAATTATACAAATTGAAGCGAGCATTGGACTAAAAACGATCACCAATTGCGAATAAACGACGCAAATTGATCCTTCTTCGCGACAATGCTCGACCTCATGTTGCATTATCAGTGATGCAAATACTGTTAGAGCTGGAATAAGAAATCTTACCGCACCCTGCGTATTCTTCAAACATTGCTCCATCCGATTAGCACTTGTTTAGGTCGATGCAACATGCTTTAGAGGATACACACTTTCATAACTTGGAACAAGTGCAAAAATTTGTTGAAAATTGAATCGATTCCAAAAAAGAATCTTTCTATCATCGCGGAATTCATCTCTTGCCAGTAATATGGGAAAAGGTTAGAAATATCCGGAAAAGTAGAAAGCAAAGGAAAATATTTTAATTAAGGTATTCATTATCTTGTTTAAGTAAATCAGTTTTTAAGAAAAAAAAAAGAAACTAAATCACATTCCTAATACATATAATTTTTATATACATATTTTTATATATTGTACATATAATTTTTCCTAAAGATTACATGCATATAAAAAGTATATAAAAATATGTATGTAAAAATAATATACTTTTTTATATATAAAATTTTTATATATACGTTATATACATATTTTTATATACGTTTTATATATATACAATTTTTTCTTTTTCCACCTTGCGAGTTTCTCACCGCCGACGACGCGGCGCACAGTAGTGCCAAAACACATAGTTTCGGAAAAAATTATGTAACTTTTTAATCTAAACAGATAGAATTATGATTTCTTTTTAATTTAAAGATAATAATTTATCAATTAAAATGTATTAAATTTTTATTTTTTATTTTGTTTTTCTTTTTATGTATATTTATTATTGAAATATATTTATTATATATATTGTATTATATATATATATGAATAAAAAAATTTTTAAATCTATCTCAATCAGCTTTTTTATTTCCGAGAAGAGATTTCGCATCCTCATTTAATGGTAAAATATTTTTTGCTGGTTCCTTTCGTAACTAAATATGTATGGATCAGATGAAATTAATAATTGATGCAGTATGTTTTCATTTGTAGTTAAGCGACTAATTTTTCTTGAATGATATTAGTCTATGTGTATGTATAAGTCTATAATTCAAGCATAACATCTCCGAATAAAAATTCGAATTTCTTTCAGTTGCACAAATATGCGCAGCTGGATGTTGATGTTTCTTTAAATTAGAAAGATTACCTTCTATTTTAGACAAATATCTCATTTTGAGGAGGTTTAGGTAACAAGGAAATGCTTCGTCCAATTTATATTTCCTTTTTTTAAAAAAGACATATTTTTAAGCAATATTTCTGCAGAAATATAATCAATAAAAATTTATTTCTTGTTTTCTAAAGAAGATTCGAAGTTAATTTGAATTTTTATAATAAATATAATTATGATTTATTGATCAAAAAATATAAAAACACAATCAAAATTAAATACTACTTAATACGATATTTGAATCGTATTGTCGATTGAAAATATTAATAAGGGGGAGACTAAAAGAAAAATCATTTAGTATTGATATATTAGATCTTTAAACATTATTTTTGTAGTACAATTAAATAAAAATTTGGAAGTTGACAAAATCAATTTTTTCCGTCTCAGTACCACTATGTGGCGTCGTGATTCGCCCGGAACATCCCTCGCATTTTACGGACGATTAAAGCGCGAGCGAAGCGGTCATGGACCATCGAGAGATTCGCGACGGTGCCTCTTCGGCGTGCGGCACCTCGTTGCGTACATGCGTCGTCGGACAGCCGACGCAGCGTCCTTTAATGCGAGATCGCTCGAGCGTGGTGGAATCGCCACTCGGTGTTGCTCGTACTCGAATCTCTACTATAATCACGCCGCGTCCGCCGTTTCATAGCGTCTTTTTCTCTTCACTTCGGTCGCCGCTTTTACTTTCCACAGTGATAAGCGACGGCCGGCTAGTCATCCGGCGTTCGCGCGCCGGCAACGCTTCCACTCTCGGTTCCGCAGTGGAAAGTGCAGCCTGTGCGTAGTTGCTGCGTCGGTTGCGGCGCACGCGGATAATAGCACTAACAGCACTAATAATCACGAGAAGGAGCCAAATGCACGTACAAGCAATGCCGGACAAGCGTGAAAAGTGTGTCAACACCTACAGAAATCAGATTTAATTGTCGACGAAAGACGGGATTATTAAACCGTAATGGCGCGGTCGCGGCTTCATGTGGGGGCGCGGCGTGGTATTTCGCGTCGTGAATGACGACGCGTTTTGAAGCACCGCGAGAACGTAAGCAGTGAGTAGATTGAACCACCCCGCACAGTCGATTATTCTTCGAGCGTAACGAAAATAATCGACCTCGTCCGCAAAGTTATCTTTGCGCGCTCTCGCATTCTTTCGCGATTTCGAATACGCGACAATAGCGAGAAGGGAGGAAATCAGGCGAAGGAAACGAAAGCCGCTCGTCTCCATCATTGTTAAATCATCGCGCTGTTAATTAAGGGGCTAAGCTAATTATCCCATGTGGCAGATAAATTTGTATACATGCGGCACTACTTCTCTCCTTCAATTGTTGCTTTCAAACGGGCTGTTTCATTAGCGTTGTGACGTTAACCAGACGCTAATCAAGAAATTCTATTTTCTAGAAGGTCTATTTTCTTCTCTTTTATTCTTTTACTTTGTAATCTTGCCAAGCATCGTTCGATCACCGTTGAGTGCAAATTTTTACAACTCACTTCCGATTTAAAACCTGTACTTCATATTTAATTTATATATTTATATATTATATATATACAATAATTAATTATAATATAATGTAATAAATAATATAATATAATTATAATAATAATTATGATATAATTAATAATTAATGTGCTATGCACACACTCACGTACGCACGCGCGAACCGGTCGATCGGTCGATTGCATCAAACCAATTCGTCACCGCTCTTGGCATCGCAGGAAAGAGAAAGAAGGAGGAGAAAAAAAAGAACAGACTTAACAAGATCGTTTCGTACGTCACGCTAAACGTCCACGTTCGCACGTGCCTTTTTTCCCAACGCTGTAACATTGCCATTGGGCAAGTAGCAATGAGAGACCTGTCATTGCGGCTCCGCGAAAATGAACGGGCCCTTGCCGTCTTTCTGTCCTTTTTTTACGTCTTGCCTCCGTTTTTCTCCTCTTCCCGTCGTAACCGCGTTACCCCCCCCCCCGGATCGGTCCGGATATCAGTGCCGGATCAGCTCGCACGCAGATCTGCCGGTGGAATGCAAATTTCAGCAATCGGCAAATTACGCACCTTGCGCAAGGGAATACCGCGTGTGTTCAATTAGAACCTCGTCGCTTTAACGACGACGTAAAACGGGAGAACTTATGATGGATCGCGTGCCGTGGGTTGGCATTTTGTGCGCGAGCAACGGCGACGCGACGCGACACGGACGGGAAAACGTGAAAATCGACCGACAGTTTTCAGTTTATCGCGTCTGGCGTTATATGCAACATATCCATTCATCGAAAGCAGGACGGAGATACTCCACGGCGGTACAGCAATAATAATAACAAAAAGTTACAAATTGTTCTCCGCGAAAGGGTGAACTGTCCATGAAACATGTGTGTCGGGAACGAATCCAGGGTTGGGAAAGTTACTTTGTATCTAGTTACAGTTCCTTTCACTGAAAAAGTAACTACTGTAACTACTTACAGTAACAAGTTACCGACTTTCAAAAATAACATGTTACAGTTATAATTATTTAGAAAGTAACGAGTCGTTTATTTTTCAGTTACTTTCTTACAATAATTATGCTATTATTTTAAATTTCATAATTGTATAAATTCCTTTAATTTTATATAAAAATAGTTTGTTGATTATTATATATATTCCTTATATCGTATGTAATTTTTACAAATTAGATTCATTAATTTAAATAAACAATTCATATTTGTTCTTTAAGACTATTAATAACAATTATAAGAACGTGGATCAATTTAATGAGGATAATAAATACTAAAAATAATCTTAACATCAAAAACTAGATTCCCTCACTAAAAAATATATTGATATTTTATAAATAAAGACTTACTCACATATAGTTTCTTAAATTTGCAGTTGAAGTTCTATATTTATATGAATAATTTTTTTACTAGCACATGTTTTGCAGAGAAATGCCCAGTTGTTCTCATTTCCAAATTTTTGCTGTAACTCGAATATTTCTGCATATGATAGCCATGGCATTTTACAATCCTTCTCCGAAGATTGAGATGTTTTATTCTTGCTTGAATTTTTGTATAACTGAAACCACACAGCGCACTTCACGCTGAACGCAAGTTATGTTAACAAATAAGGACTGGCGACGCGCAACGAAAATGTCCAATAGGCGTACAATATTTTTAAAAGAAATACAGATTGCGTTTGAAGAGGAGACTATCAGCGTTACTGCGTCATTTTATCTTTGTTTTATATCTAATGAACGATAAAAATAGATGACGTTAATGGCACGTTTTCCAAATGCAGCCAGAATAATGTGTGCCTATTGGATATGAAGCATCGCGTTATCGTGCTGGTCTGCCAAAAACTCAAGTTTGAAATATATAAAGTAACTATTAAAGTAACTATTAAATCAGTTACTAATTATCAAACAAATGTAACTAAAGTTAAGTTACAGTTACAGTTACAGATGGAAAACGAATCGGGACGAAGTTAATAAGTTATAATTGTCAAAAAAGAAATAACCGTAACTGTAACTTCGTTAGAAATAACGAGTTACTTCCCAACCCTGAACGAATCCACGATGGACGACGCGGCGGCAGCTCGGAAGGCAAACCGAGCATTCATCTGTCTGCCGCGAAACGTCAGATTTGCAAGTCGATCTCGGGCTTCTTATCAATTTCGGTTTCAGGTGACTTCCCGATGAACGCTAACGTGTCGTTGACGGCCGACAGGATGTCCAACATCTACAACAACTCCGTCGTGCGATTTTATCACCATGTGTTCCACGATCTGTCTGGTAAGCTTGCGCGCGACCGGTCGTATCTGAGGACGATTTTGATCGTCATTTTATAAAAACGGCGAGCGTAATTGTACGTTTACTCGCGAACAACATGGTATGGTTATTACAACCTTTTTTACTCGCGAACGGAAAAATCGAGCTCGTGGATTGCAGAGCAAATAGAGCTCGATCATGTGCATGAATATCGCAATAATTCCGATCTCGTGATTTCCTATAATAACATAACGAGGCTTGATTTCCCCGCGGAATGTGTCTCTCGTTCCGCGCCTTCTGAGAAAGTCGATCGTGTTTTTCTCCTTTCTCACGGAAATCTTCAATATTAAAATTGGAGCGGGATAAAAAAAGAAGGCACGGTTATTGTCTGATGAAATGTATCTATCATATTTCATCGCGTCGCAGCGCATAATTGCTCTCCGGAACAAAAAAGAAAAGAGTCGCTCGAAATAATCATTGATAAAAAAAACCACAGCTCGCCGTTGTTGAGGGGACGAATTTTAGAGATGAAGTAGCTACTTCGTGGGATACTTCAAGGTGACGAAGATTTCGTCAGGGGAGGAAAGCGCGAAAGTTATCGCCGGTCTGAAAATGTCTGGACTTGTAAAATTCGCCGTTGAACGCGATTTCATCGCACACGAAATTCCCCTTTCAGATCCCCGGACGAGAGATTGGTTTCTCATACCGTCGCCTGTGCCGGGAGCTAGCATCATAATCGGATATCTCTACTTCGTGCTGTCGTGGGGTCCGAGACATATGGAACACCGGAAGCCGTACCAATTAAAAAACGTCCTAGTGTTCTACAACTTCATGCAAGTTCTCATCAGTACCTGGCTGTTTTGGGAAGGCGTGGACGGTGTGTGGTTCAACAACTACAGCTGGAAGTGCGAGCCGGTGGACTTCTCGTACTCGCCGCACGCCTTGAGAGTACGTAAAAAAATCCTCCTACTAGACCTGGTCGGAAATAATTCGTCGGAAAAAACGTCGTCTCGACGTCGAAAACCGAATGTCGAAATTCGAATTAATTCGACGTTGAAACACGTATAAATGTAGACATGTCTTCGATATGTCTGCAATGCTGTTTTTTCAATGCCATTTCAACATCGAATTTATTACTCAAGGAACGTCAATGTGTCCGTATAGGTTTATAAAAAAATTAGTCCTGATTTTTTCACGCCTCTCACCTGCTGAGAGAGTGACCGAAGATTGCTATACACATACACACACACTCACACGCGCGCGTGCACGCAACACCTTCGAACGTTACCTATCCTTCGTATCCTTCTTCGGTAACTTCGATTCCAAGCAGCGCGAAACGGCATCATTCAATGTCCTGACGGCATTTGAGGCGTTGCTTAACTTGATAATCGAGCGGCACGTAATAATCCCAATAGCTTCGACGATATTCTTGCAACTTATCCTCATATAATGTAATATATTTTTATAACATTCGCAGAACGTTATAACATATTAATCCTTTGCACCAGACGAATATTTTCACATTTCCTTCTACCAATTATAAATTCCTTCGACAATTATAAATATTATATAATAAGTCATGAAAAATTTACTTTTTACGATTACTTTTCAACTGAGAAAAACAAACATTACATAATTAAAATTTATCATTTATACATAAATTTATTGACAAAAATTTATGAAATTTTACTTCTTATAGCTTTTTAAAGTGCGATGCCGTTGTTATCATAGCATTTTATTGCTTCATTGCTTTTTGTCTTTAAATCTTTTTCATGCCAGCACAGCTGGCATTCCGAGTTGCCGAAGTAAATGTTTATGCCAGCTGTGCCGGCATTCCGAGTGTAGGAGTTAATATTGAAAAAATAAATATTGAATAACGTAACAATATTAGATGCGACACTTAATACAATATATATTAGTGAACCAGTAAATGTGTGTGTATGTAATTCCATGGTCATTTTTAGATTTTTAACGATATATTATAATAGTTAATCTCTCTTCAAACAGCAAAATAATTTAAAACAAATTCAAAGAAATCCAAATTGAAACAAGAGTTCCTCATTTATTAAAAAAGAAATTTTATTATTAGCGAAATGCATAAATATCGCATTAATTACCGTACCTTTTAAATACACGATTAATGTGATTTCGAAGCCAATGCAATCGTATGTGTGTTAAAAAAACGTTACAGGTCCTTTTACAGTATTACAGTAAAAGTATTACTGGTAATGCAGTCAGGAATGATTCGTCAAAATGACATCGAAACAACGTCAAAACAACGCTATGATTGATTTATCGTTGATTAGTAGTGATAAATAAGAATCACAACGGCAGGTAGTTAGAATAAATATACCCTGGGAAAAATTAAAAATCACACAGGTCGATATTGTGCCAAAATCGATCTCCATTCAACTCAACATGTCATCAACCGCTTTGACATCGCATTCAAGTCGAATAAACGTTAGTTCCAACTGGGAAGTACTACATGGGCTGAAAAGTCTTTGGCCTGACATATAGATGGCGCCACAAACTAAAAATCCTTATATTTCCTATAGAGTACCAACCTTAACTTAGATGCTGTAAAAATTTCATGATATTTCGTCGACTCGTGTACAAGTTATAGCTTTCGAAGTGACGTTACCTCTGAATTTATCTTTACTATGGAAAAAAGTGAATTTCGTGTTTTGATTAAACATTGCTTCCTGATGGGAAAAAACACTGTTGAAGCAAAGGCATGGCTTGATAAATGTTACGGCACATCTGCCCCACCGAATTCAACCATCAAATATTGGTTTGCTGAGTTTCGTCGTAACCGTACGAGCACAAATGATGCACCACGTTCAGGAAGGCCAAATGAGGCAGTTACTCCAGAAAACATCCAGAAAATCAGTGAAATCGTGTTGAATGACCGCAAAATGAAATTGAGTGAGCTAGCTAACATCATAGGCATCTCAAAGGAACGCGTTGATCATATCATTCATGAATATTCACACATGAAAAAGCTTTGCGCGCGTTGGGTGCCGCGTTTTTTGACAATTGAGCAAAAAGCGGAACGTGTTCGACTTTCAAAGCAAAATCTGGCCCTGTTTAACCGCAATAAGAAGGAGTTTTTGCGTCGATTTGTCACAATGGATGAAACATGGATCCATCACTACACACCGGAGTCCAATCGGCAGTCAGCGGAGTGGTTATTGCCTGGTGAAAGCCGTCCGAAGCGCCCGAAGACACAACAATCAGCCGGCAAGGTTTTGGCCAGTATTTTTTGGGATGCGCATAATATTCATTGATTATCTTGAACATGGTAAAACTATCAATAAAGAATATTACTGTACATTACTGGATCGATTGGACGACGAGGTCAAGGTCAAACGGTCACATTTGGCAAAGAAAAAAATTTTGTTTCACCAAGACAATGCTCCAGCTCACTCGGTTCGCGATACGACCGATAAATTAAAGAAATTGCGCTATGAATTGGTCCCGCATCCCCCGTATTCTCCAGACCTGGCCCCCAGCGACTATTTCCTTTTTCCCCGACTGAAGCAGTGGCTCGCTGGTAAAAGATTTTACTCGAATGGAAAGGAGGTCAAGTTGGAAACAAATGCCTATTTTGAGGGACTTGACACCGAGCACTATAAGACCGGCATCGAAATGTTAGCGGACCGTTACACTAAGTGCATTACTCTAAATGGAGATTATGTCGAGGAATAAAACACTTTTTTCATTAAAAAAATCGTTTTTTCATTGTTAAGCCAAAGACTTTTCAGCCCATGTAGTATCGCTGATCCGCGATATTCCCTCGATTGGATAGCATCAACTGTTCGTTACTAACGATCTTTCATTTGCATCGAGGAAAAATTATCCTTCATGTCGCTTGTTTTGTGCGCGCTCGGACGAGACGAGTGAGAGGGAGAAGATGAGGATATAATTTCCGAAGATTATTTCTTACGCTCGATGTTCTAGGTCGCGAGAGGAGTTTACTTCTATTTCCTGGCGAAACTGACGGAGCTGCTCGATACGGTGTTCTTCGTGTTGCGTAAAAAGGAAAGGCAAATCACGTTTCTCCACATGTACCATCATACCGTGATGCCCATGGTATCATGGGGCGCTACGAAATATTACCCCGGAGGTCACGGTATCTTTATAGGTGCGTAAAAGGAAGGTAGAAGGACGGAAAATAAAGTGACGCGTCGCGAGTCGACCTTCTTCTTCATGTTTGCTTGTATCACTGTTATACATCAACTCTTTGCGGTCGTAGCGTGCTGAGGCGAGGACACCTTCTACTGGTCGGAACTATTTTGAAGATGACACGGAAAAAAATATTTCCATTCATTTGTTAGGTGTATGCAAAAGTTTTGGTTTTTTTCTCAGTCCTCTAATGTAATTATCTTTTAAATTGAAATATTTTCCCGCTGTTTTTGTAAGGTTGGTAGTTGAGTTTTCTAAAATGCCATTCATTATATGATTCATTGATGCACATAAAACCAACAATTAAACACAACTTAAAAACAACAATTGATACAATGAGCAACGAAAAACTTTATATTCGACACCGCATTCGATATGAATTCCAGCAAGGAAAAAATGCTGCTAAAGTATGTGAGTCCATTTGCTCTGTTCTTCTGGAAGATATTGTGTCCCAAGAACTTGCAAAACTGCTCGGCCAAGCAACAGTTTCAAGGCAACTGCATGAAACAGAAAAAATTTAGAACCTCGGAAAATAGATGTCGCATAAATTGTCGCAAAACAGCATTATCCGTCGGTTGAATATGTGCGTTTCCAGACAGCGCAAAACAGATTATCGAAAATTATTACTGGCGATAAAAAATGGATTATACTACTGTGATAAAAAATAAGGTGAATTTGTTTATAAAATGAAAAATCTTTATTTATTCTTCCAAATCAATTTCATCGCCTTCAAAGTACTCTCCGTCCGACACAATGCACTTATGCCAATGTTTTTTCCAATCCTCGAAACAGTCAGAGAAGTCTTTTTCCGGGATGGCCTTCTTACTTATAATACTTTCTTCGATTCGGCTTTTATTTCCTCAATCGAGTCGAAACGGTGTCCCCGGAGCGGTCTTTTGAGTTTGTTGAACAGCCAGAAGTCGCACGGTGCTAAATCAGGCGAATACGGTGGTTGTGGAACAATATGGGTCGAATTTTTGGCGAAATGTTCTCGAAGAACCAATGCAGTGTGGGACGGTGCATTATCGTAGTGCAAAAACCAAGAATTGTCTGCCCATAATTCTGGCCTCTTGAGGCGAACAGCTTCACGCAAACGACACATAACACTCAAATAATATTTCTTGTTAACAGTTTGGCCTGGCGGAAAAAATTCATAATGCACAACACCGCGATAATCGAAGAAAACTGTCAACATGACCTTGATTTTTTAGTGACTTTAACGCGGTTTTGAAGTCTTTGTACCAGTTGTAAACATTTTTTTGCGACATAGCCTTATCACCAAAGGCCTTCTGCAACATCCTCAACGTTTCCGCGGCAGAATATTCATTCCGCAAACAAAATTTAATGCAAATTCTTTGCTCAACAAAATCAGACATAATAAAAATCGAAAAACTCATTTTTGTATGTTTACAAAAACACGTATAGCTCTGCAGCAATTGAATATATTGACATGAAACTCTGCATAGATGTCAAAGACAGTGCTACCAACCCACCAAAAATAATTTCATGATTTTATAGTACCCACGAAGTTTAAATGAAAAATTCACTTTATTTTTTGATCACAGTAGTATATGATAATCTTATGCGCAAACATTCGAACCCTGGACAGCCTTCCACTTCAGTGGCAAAATAAAATATTCACAGCAAAAAGATCCTTTTATGTATTCGGTGAGATGCGAAAGGTTATGTGCATCAATGAATCATATTGAATGGGAAACGTTTTAGAAGATCTAATACCAACCTTACAAAAGCACAAAACTGCGGGAAAACATTTCAATTTAAAATAATTATGTTAGAAGACAGGAAAAAGACCAAAACTTTTATCTATATATATATATTTTGTCTATATATATATTTGTCCTAATAGTCAACTGTTTTGCAAAATGTAAGATATATTTACATTTATATATAATTTACTTTTAATTTCGATTATTCCTACTGTATTCCTACTTTTACTAAAAAGTTGACCATTTTGACCTTCTTGAATAATTCAACATTTTGTAGATATTTTTCTTGAATTTTAAGGTAAAAAGTTTTAAAAGTGTTTCTTTTCTCTCTTTATGGAAAAAAGTTACATATTTTTAAAGAAACTCACATTTCTTTTCCGTTTGTATTCATAATTTATTAAAAATAAAATATTTACTAAACAATTTTTATTAAATTGACTATGACATCGTCCACTGAAATGTTGAGAAATGTTTCATGAATTTTTCCAGATTTTTTTTGGAATGTGTTGAGGTAAGGAAAATAGTGTCGGACATAGATTCACGTATGCATAAAGTTGGCATGTTTTAAACAAAAAAACACGATATTTTGTTTTTATCTTAAACATGTTTTTTACCGACTTTGCATAATGAAGGGGCCGAAAAAAACGTATGCACTAAGATGAAAATTTGAAAAATTATGTAACAAAATGTAAAAAGAGAATGCATAGAAAGTGATAATATACGCAATATATATATATATATGTATATATATATACTATTTCTATTATTAAAATATTATTGTTAGCTGTTTTACAGTAGAAGATAGACTAAATCAAGCTTTTTCTAAATATCCAAAATCGTTTATCTCTCCGCGCGTCGGGCGTAGCTCGACTCACGATTAGAGCGATAAAATATTATATCGGCACATAATCTGTCTTACGACCACAAAGGGTTAATTCCTCTTCACCTTTCAAGTAAGGCAGTTATACAGCGGCGATACTGCCATTGATTTGTCTATTGGTTATGTCTGTTTCCGCCTAACGTTGCCTGCGCTCAACTTTTCCTCATCTTCTATCTTGCGACCAAGACGTCATTATTATCATTATTTCGTTACAACGATAACTCGAGATGAATCTATTTGCAGGAATCATCAACAGTTTTGTGCACATCATCATGTACTCTTATTATTTGCTGGCGGCGCTACTACCTCAGTATCAACAATACCTCTGGTGGAAGAAGTACATCACCACTCTGCAAATGGTAATGAAGCGAACGAATCTCTTCTTCGAGAGCGAAGAGAGGAGCATTTTCTCGCTGTGTCACGCGATGCTCAGAATTTTCGCGATGATGAATCGCGGCGGCAATCGGCTAAACCGGTCGTATCGATATCCTTGGCAGAAGAATGAAATATTTCACGCGTCTTTATGGATTTCGAGATTTCGACACAGCGCGAGTTCCCTCTTGCTTTGAATGCGCGGCAAATTGTTATGCTCGTTGCCGCTCGCTCGATCGGCACGAAACGAACGCGTAGATACGCAAAGAACCTCCGCAAAAAGGGTCGATTTTTTGTCCGTTTCTCGGTCCTCGATTTTGGAATCGAATTTTATGTCAAAAGATAGTTCATGATGAGACATTAATTACAGAAAAGTTTTACGTTGAGCATATAATTGGTTTCAAATATGTAGAGGGTCAAAGTGGTCACTACCTACCTACTAAGAAGGTATCTAACACTAATAACACTAATAATGCTTTATCGCACGAATTTTTGCAAAATTCGGTATCTATGGGTTCTTTGAGTTGCTGATTATGAATCTGATGTCAGATTTTAAAAATTCAAGGTGGCAGGTGCAACATGGCAGACACACATAGTGAAACAATCATTTACTTTTATTTATTGAAACTGTTATATTGTGGTTGTTTTGGTTAGCTGATTGCGAATTTTCTATTAGGTTTTCGAAAATAATTTTTTCAACAATTTTTGAGTGAAAAAGTATTCTTTTTTATAGTTTTTTATAAAAAAAATATCAAATTCAAATGGATACGTTACATGACGCATAAAGGATAACGTGATAGTTTTATTTGTCATATTTAGAAGCATTTTCATTGCAGACGTGCTTTTTCATTGCAGTTTCCGTGACTCTTTATAATTACATATCATTATATCCAATAATATAAAAGTTGTCTAAAAATTCAGTTCTGAAGTTATCGGTTTTAAAGTATACCACAAACAGTTCTAATAAAGTATACCACATAACAGTTCTAATAAAAGTAAATAATTGTTTCACTATTTGTGTCCGTTATATTACATCCGCCATCTTGAATTTTGTAAATCTGACATCGAGTTCGTAATAAACAACTCAAAGAACCCATAGATACTGAATTTCACAAAAATTCGTGCGATAAAACGTTATTAGTATCAAACTTCCTTAGTAGGCAGTGACCACTTTGACTTTCTATATCTCTGAAACTAATCGTATGTTCGATATAAAACTTTTTTGTGATTAATATCTTATCATGAGCTATCATGAGCATAAAATTTAATTTAAAAATCGGGGACTGAAAAACGGGCACTTTTTGCGGAGGTTCTTTAGACAAAGGACGAACTAAGTCCGGCGACGTCTGCTTGTTCGACAGGGTCAATTCTGCCTGGCCTTCCTGCACAATTTGCAACTGCTGTTCTACGACTGCGATTACCCGAAATGGTCGTTGATCTTGGTCCTGCCGAACGCGATGTTTTTCTACTTCCTTTTCGCGGACTTCTACAGTCACGCTTACACCACCAAGAAGGGTGATGACGCGTCACCGAGCCAAAACTCGAGCAGCAGCAAAGCGGCCGACCTCGCGGAGAAAGTGAGCAACAACGGTGGGATACCGAACGGAAAAGGGAAAAGCGACTAATCGGCAGCAACCGAGAAAGGAGACGCGATCGCAATGAAAGGCGACACGGCCGCTATCATTACTAACACTAAATCGCACTGCGTTTTTATTACAATTTCTCATTCCGTCTCTATCGATATCAGAAACACGGAACGCTCGCTTCCGGGGTCGACGCACACGCAGAGTAAACAGCGACCTGGATAAAAAGGAAAAAGAAACAAGAGAGAGAGAGAGAGAGAGAGAGAGAGAGAGAGAGAGAGAGAGAGAGAGAGAAAGAGAGAAAAACCGGTACAGAGAGTCGCGGAAAACGAACGTATTTAACATGATTCCTCATCTTCCAGTTTTTTACAGGAACGCAAGCGACCCGTTTATTGCGCGTCCTTAAGGAACAACCGCGCGAGGTCACGCCGAACGACCGAGCTGTTCTTGAGAATCGACACGCGGGATTTCCAAGCATATATTAGCACTAGGATTGCCAGATGCGAAATGACTATTTTTAGGACATTTTTTAAGCGACGACTGAAAAATAGATTGTTAGAGAATTTCAGTTAAATTTGAGAGATAGAGGAGTAAGACGGCTAAGAGGCGCCGCTGTGTACTCGCAACAAACAAATACATGAATTCAGTACCAGTAGTGCGATGCTATAACTCGTTATTGGAGTTAACGACACTTTCGTTATCGTTGCACAGCTTTTGTATACCGTGGAAAAGCTGCGCAACGATAATGAAACTGTCGTTATTTTTAACTCCAATAACGAGTTAAAAATTCACACTACAGCAGACAGAAGTTTGGACATGAACCGCGCGATTGTATTTTTTACCACGCGAATGGCTTAGTTGACATCAATATTCTTAGGTGGCACGTCGAAAAATTTAATCTTATAAATCGCGGTAACCGCTCTCAGGTTTCTCTTTGGTGCCAGTTAAAAACATGAATGTTGTTATAATTATGATTTTGTTGAAATTCTGATTTTCCGGGACAGAAGACTTAAATTTCACGGGACAAGCTTAAGAATTCCGGGACATTCCCGGAAATCTCGGCCATCTGGCAACCCTAATTAGCGCTGATACAATTAGCCGCTTCCACGATCCGCTTCCATACGGACTGATTCACTTTTCGTCTCATCCTTTTTTGATATACATGCGCGAAGAGAACGACATTCTACTCTATTTATATCTCTTGTGTCTTTGTCGCATATTACAGTCCCTGTATCTAATCGCGAGAGGGAGTACACAATGAGCATAATCATCTATACCTGTAGCGATATTCCTAAAAAGGACAGATATGCATCGTAATGTACGTCTTAAGCACATCACACGAAGCTCGTGCTCGCGTCGCGTCCGTGGAAGCCGAAGCTCTTTACAACGAAGAACGCCCGCCTTGTTGTGCGCAGCCACGCGCGAGGAGCAGCCGAAAGGCTTCCATGGAGCTCGTTTCACTGAAACGTCACGTTCCTCGGGGAGGATCAGCGCCGGGACAGCGATTTTTTAAGGTTAAGCCTTTGACCACGGATGGCAGCCCTTGTAAGAGTTCGGCGAAGGTGCTCAACTTCGTTATGTGTTATCGCATGATCACAGGGGGGGGGGGTTGGCTGAATTAAAACGCGCTATTGTGGACGCGTTCTAGTCCAAGAGAACGGAATTCCTGGCCCTCAACGTCGAATTCGCCACGAAATCCAAGTATGTTCTTTTTACGCGCATAAGTGTGTGACTGGCTGAAGATTCTTTTCTACGTCCCGAGTAGAAAAATTAGTAGGGCTCTAGTAAAGGCCTGATCATTTTTCTCTAACGGTAATCGGGCTCTAGTAGGGATAGAAAGACAAGGCCCTATAAGATGTGTAACAAATGGTTTTACAGGTCCTTATAAAGCAATATTATAAGGACCTCGTAAGGCAATATCAACAAGGCCTTATAAAGCGATATTAATAGGACCTTATAAGGAAATATTTTTATTATTGCTTGAGTACAAATATTCATTTTCTTCATTCCAAGAAATTTGGACAGTAATTTTGTTATTTCTTTATAATCTTGTTAGTATACAAGTTAGTATACAACAACAAGAATTTGTTTTAAAAATATAGCGTTCTTTACACATAAAAATCCTGCTACTGCTTTTTATTAAAGTTTGCTGCATTTCAAAACGAAGGCAATACTAGAAAAATCTTTGGAAGAGACTAATAAATATGGCAACTAACAAAACTAATAAAATTTGTTTTTAATTGCGGTATAATTGAAAAATTTTTAAGAGAACCAGAGAGAGCGTACCTACTAAAACAATACTAAATTATGAGTTTTATTACACGGTTCAGATCTTATTAATTTTCTAGAGTAAAACTTGATTTTGTATATCTAAAGCATCCTTGAAAAATCCTTCTTAACCCTTTGTCCTACAACAACGAGTGAGACTCGTGGTAAGAAATTTGGGCCAAAAACAATGAGCACGAGCCTGACTCGTGATACTTCGTTCGGACCAAACGTAAACAACACGAGCCTGGCTCGTGGTACTTCATTCGGGACAAACATAAACAACACGAGTCAGACTCGTGGTTCAGTTGTTCTCGATATTTTCTTACTTTAGTTACGTGTAATTCTTCGTTACGTTCACACGTTTAGGTTATAATTCCCTAAAAGAAATAAACAACCCTTATACCTATCATGTCAGTAAAAAGAAAATCTAATATCGATGATAATTCCTTTCGTTGCGCCGAAATATATATGTCATAAGACGCATACATTTTGCGCAAGATCGAGCACACGGCTAAACAGCTAAATGGCTCGACGCGTGACCGACCTTCTTGTTTATTGTGGCCCGAGCAATCGGGAGTTAGCGGGTAGGACAAAGGGTTAAGTTCATATCAATTTTTCATGTTAAAGCGTTACTTCATAAAATCTAAGATATTCCTAAAATATCATTCTAAGGCCCATCTCAGCTTTTCCTATCAAAGCCTTATTTTTTAAAATCTAAAGTATCCATAAAAGACCTTTCTAAAGTCCTTATCAGTTTTCCTTATCAAAGCCTATTTATTAAATCTAAGGCATCCCTAATAAATCGTTCTAAGACCCTCATCAGTTTTTCTTATCAAAGCCTTATTTCATAAAAGATATTCCTAAAAGATCCATTTTGGGGCCTGATATGATAATAATGATGATGAGGATGGCTCTAACAATTTTTTGCTCGGGGTCTTTCTAGCTATCGTGAATTCAATTCGCTTGGATGACATTCGACACATTTAACCCTTTGCGCTCGAGAAGCGACATTCAGTCGGCGAGTGAGAGACGACAAAGGCTGTCGCCTCTCGAGCGCAAAGGGTTAAGCGCGTTAATTGACGTGATTCAAGCCGACAAGAGACGTGTGAAGAAAGATTCAGCCAATTACACGCTTATGCGTTTATGTCGAGATAAAACACTCGGATTTACAGCTTTGGATTCGTCAGAAGCGGAAATTCCGTTGCCCTCGAAGAAATGACGTGACAACTTTTCTCGCGCCGATTCGATGAGACCTGTAAATGTCACCTGCGCCCACAAATATGTCGTAACATAACGACAATATGTGACTCGGCAGTGAGCACCTCGCCTCTAAGCCTCTTCAAAGTCGAAGGACTGCCAATGCGGCGATCACGTGTACGATTGCGCGGGTTTGACGATGTAGCGATTGTTCATCGCTTTCAAAATGCGACGAAGTAGCGAAGTGGCAAATGTACCGGTCACGAACACCGTCAAGGCTCTCACGTTACCTTGAGGATATGAGGATCGATCGATATTCCCTTCCGCATGGAGCTCGCGTCGCGAACGAAGACGGGTTTCACGACTGATCAATCTGAATATCGCGTAACCTAAATATGCAGCCTTACGGTAATTGTTTAACGCGTGAACCGCGTGCCGGAACGTTTGCCGTTAATCAACGCCGAAGGAAGGAGAAGAGAGAGAACATGAAACCTTTCCTTACCTGACGATCCCTTTTTGCGACTTTTGCGAATTTCGCTACGTGCTTGCGCGCGCGCACGAAAATTGCTCGTGATGCACGATTGAATAATTAATCAAAGGACATATTGCAGTCACGCCTCATGCGCAAGAGGATCAAAGTATACCCGGGAGGAGCGTCTTCAAGCGTTCACGTCGATTTTCAGTGACGAGCTATGCGTTCAAATGTGTTCGTGACAAGTCAATAATCAAATTTCATGTCAAATAATCGTAGGTATCGCTAGCGAGGAGAAGTAATTCGTTGCAATTTCGAGCGAAACGATATATACGGTAATAATATATAAACAGGTGATACTAATGAGACGATTATAGAAGTCTTCATTTTGTCAATTAATCAAACATAGCTGTGAGAGAGAGAGAGAGAGAGAGAGAGAGAGAGAGAGAGAGAGAGAGAGAAGGAAGGACGATCTTATGAAAGCATTCTTTCCTTCCGGAAATTGAATAAGAGCCCATTTCGAGTGAGATCGCGCGCGATATTCGAATGCGTCGCGCGAGAAAATTCGACTCAACTGAGAATTGAAAGCTGCTAATCGCATATGCGCTACTCGATTAGCATTCGCGTGTCGTTTTGTGATTCGACTTCTCTTAGCTCGACCGACGTGTGTTCGCTTTCCTCTGTGGTGCTGGATTTTCCCTAAATTTCGATTAGATTAATTAAGTCCAAAGAATATGGCTTTAAGCTGGCATCTATGCGCCAACTGGCGGATGTATTTCGTACTAATACCGCAATTTCTCCTCCCTTTTTACTTCTTCTTCTTCTTCTTCTTCTTCTTCTTCTTCTTCTTCTTCTTCTTCTTCTTCCACTTTCTCTTCTTTACCTTCTTCTTTTTCTTCTTCTTCTTTCCATGTCCATCCCTTCCGGACTAATTTTACATTAAAATAGAAGACAATAAGGGACACACACGTAGCTTCTAAGATTTGTTACGTTCTGTACACCTTAGAAATACGACAACGGGGCTTCTAATGTAAATAAAGTGTCAGTTGCACCGCATCTTACAAGGAGATGCTACAACCTGTAAAATCGATTTCCAAACGAGTCATGTCTCGTTCGGTAGCTTATATGTAGAGAATGAACACCCTAAAGGGATTCGGCTGAATGGGCCTTCATTTAGGAGAAATTGCGAAGCAGTTAAAATGACGGAGCTGCGTCATTCAAGAGCGGAAAATGCAGGGGCGCAAGCACTAAGATATAGACGAGAGAATTAAAGCGCTCGTCCGACGCTTTTTTGTGCCGCCGACAAGCGTTCGAATCCCCCCGATGTTTTTTCATATTCTTTTTTTTCTTACCTTGCACATGCAATTAATTCTTTTAACTTATAATTAATATATTATTCATATTTGTTCCTTTTTAATGCAGATATGTAGGGAATTATGCAGGTAAGTCCCAAGCTTTTTTAACGTAAAATATAAAATAAAAACATAATTTGCAGTTCTTAAAACAGAATATATTTTTCTTATATATCATAAAATTATATGCATATCACAAGATAGAAACATTTTGCAAAATCTATGCGTTATAAAATTCTGTTATATCGTCGCAATGTTGAGGATGAAAAGCTATATAAAAACATTCGAAACATAAATATTTTTTGCACCACATATAATAAAAGAATTATGTTGCTTACAAACGCACTTTTGATTATGAATGTTGGAAAACATTATTGATTAACTTTATAAAAAATGTCTCAACTTTTTGCTAAATTGGACGCATACCAAGCATATTGCAGCATATATTTGAATCCTGGTGCTGATAATAAATAGCGAGTAAGCGATTGCATGCGAATTACATCAACTCGAGTGTTCAAACGTATACTTTTGTCGCCTGTAAATAAATGTGGACAATTTTGAATTTTCTTTATAATAATTTTAACTTGCTTATAAAAGTAAACATCACAAGGCTGGCAGATTGAGGTACATTTCGGCGGTATAATTTGTAAGTCACAATTTTGTGATATATAAGAAAAATATATTTCGTTTAAAGAACTGCAAATTATGTTTTCATTTTATATTTTACGTTTTATATTTTATGTTAAAAAAGCCTGGAACTTACCTGCATAATTTCCTATATATCTGCATAAAAACGGAACAAATATGAATAATATATTAATTATAAGTTAAAAGCATTAACTGCATGTGCAAGGTAAAAAAAAAAGAATATGAAAAAACGGCGGGATTCGAACGCTCGTTGCTGGCACAAAAAAGCACCGGGCGGGCGCCTTAGGCCCAGTTGCACCAACATTATTTTGGTTTTAAGTGAGACTTAAACATAAGTCTATCTTTATCTTTCTTACTAAATAAATAAAGACAGAGATATATTTAAGTCTCACTCAAGACCAAAATAATGTTGGTGCAACTGGGAATTAGTCCTCTCGACTACGCCGCCTTGGTGCTTGTGCTTTTATATTTTTCGCTCTTAAATGACACAGCTTCGTCATTCTAACTTTGCTTCGCAATTTCTTCTAAACGAAGGCCCATTCACCCGAATGCCTTTAGGGTCTTCATTCTCTACATACAAGCTATCGAACGAGACATGACTCGGTCTTTGACAAGACTTTGGAAATCGATTTTACAGGTTATAGCATCTCCTTGTATTAGTTCCGACAATTTTAGACAGTCTTCCAAGTGATCTGTTATCGAACAGTCAGGATTTTATCTTTCATCGATCAGTCGAGCGAAACGACTTTGCACTTTCGAACGGATAATCTTACAATTATACCCGTGTGTATCATACAACATACGTGTGTAATTCGTTGTAGAATAAAAGTATATATCGCTGATACAGTCTGATCTCTTAATTGTTCACTCTTTCGATCGGCGACGATTCGACTCGAATTTCGTTGATCTCTAACGGAACGTTCAACGCAGGCGGATTTTGATCCGAGTTTGATCCTTGGGAGGAACACGATATCAGGCGTTCGCAATTTCGATTTATTTGTAATGTTTATTAATAAATAGTGGTACACATTCCGCACTTAAACTACTGCGCCCCTCCCTCCCCCTTACGTCGTTTATTTATTTAATTGCAATGTGTTGGACGCAAGTCGCGAGATTGTCCGCAGCGATTATTATTACAAGAGTCGTCATCGTTGGCAGTAGTTCCGCGTTGTTTCGACCAAGCTTGTCAAACGAGAACAACAAGAATCGTTTGTTGAAAGGCGAAGAAAGAGCCTCAAACATTCCGCGATTTGGATTGGATCGTTGCCCGACGAACAGAGCGATAATTGTGAGCTGAAGAAGCTGAGAGTATTCATCTCCGACTAAATGCCGGAGAGGCTCTCATAATCTGGCATTGAGAACACTGGACTGTGTAACATAACAGAAGCGAGGAAGCATAGCGAGGAAGTACCGTTAGAAAAACTCAGAACCGCGCTCGGGTGTTTTCCTTTGGAAGGAACGCGACGGCCAGTCCGGCTTACGGATTTTTACGAGTACCGGTTGCTTCGTTACTCACGTTATATGTCTGCTCTCGGTGGGCGCTACTTTTCTTTTTTTCTTCCTTTTTCTTTTTTACGGATCGTGGCACACTTTAGACGCAGCCCCGGGCGATCGGTTCGCGTTTCGCGCTCGTCCTGCTTCCTCTCCCGCTTCGATTCTTGTCCTCCTCATCCTCCCGGGTCAACGAATTCACATCGCTGACGTATGTTAATTACAACATCGGCGCCGAAATCGAGAAGATTTGGCGACTCGAGCGCGACAACGACTCTTTGCATATCACAATTATCGTGGCGTCTCAGTAATTTGGTTGAAAACGCATACGAATAAATAAAACGAAATAGCCTTCGCACGGTTTTTACAAAGGACAACTAAATACACAAGGTAATTAAAATTACAAAACGATTATTGATAATAAATTATGAATACGATAATCACTTATATTGGAAATGCCAATAACTATGTGACGTATTTAGTGTGTGTGTGTATGTGTGTGTGTGTGTGTGTGTGTGTGTGTGTGTGTGTGTGTGTGTGCGCGTGTGTGAACAATACTAAAACAATTTCGAGGAACGTTCGGGAAGAGCAGTTCAGGAAACGGAAGTTCAAATGTGTCCACGTTCTATAACGAAACTGTAAGGAAATTATTGTTCACGCGCGAGTGTGCGTACGTATGTACAAATCCTTTACGTTACTTCGCATGTTAAAGACAAATGACTCAGTTGAGTGATTTTGTCACATCCTCGATTGTAATTGTCTCATCCGCTTTTTGTCATCAACTATGTTCTCGTAGAAGGAATGTCAGCATCCATTTTGTCCGCGCGAGATCAATTTCGATCATTAGATTTTCTTCGCGTACTCTTTTTTTACGTACGCTTTCCAATAAAAATCACCGAACAGATAAATGAAAATGACCACGTTCGTTAGGAAGAAATAAGTTAGAACCTTCGGCACTTGACAGTCCATGAACAGAGTCAGGATCAGGTAGCACAGCATCGCCCCGAACTGCAGCTGAAATTCGACAGAATTTTCAAGTCGAGATTTTAGTCCTGCATCGACTCTGCAAATTTCGTCGGATTTGCAGGACTAATCGAAGGTCTCGAGCTGCAACATGATACTGTTTTTTAAAATTCAACACGGTAGCAAAGACGACAAGTAGTGGCAGCCAAATAAGATAAATATTTTATATGATGTTATATCTTGAGATTCCCCATTGCTGTGTCAAGTTCAGACAGAATTTGCAAGGTTTATGTAGAACGGAAATTTCAACTACGTCGACGATTTGAAAGTAGCGCAACGATACGAAAATTCCAAAACTGACGCGTGACGAGCAATTAATTCAGAATTGGTAGGCATTCAGAATTGTTGCAGTTTGATCTTGATTACTTATTGAATATCGATAATTACCAGCTGAATCCAGGTCATGTATTTCTTCCACCAGAGGTACTTTCTGTACTTAGAGCCAAGCGACGCGATGAGATAATAACTGTACATGAAAATGTGGACAACGGAATTCAAGAAGCCCACAAAGATACCTTGTTGACCGGGTAGTAGCTTCAAGAAACACCACGAGAAGACGGCCGTTATGGTATGATGATAAACATGGAGAAAAGTCACTTGACTTTGCTTCTTTCGCAAGACGAAGAATACCTTGAAGAGGCGAAGGAAAATGTCAGGTTTTATCTCTTCATATTACGAGTTTTATCAGATGCGCGTACCTCTCAGACGAATTTTAATTAGCTCTTTATGTTAAATATTCGCGCAACGACTTTACGCGAGTTCGGGTATGGGGTATTCCCGGTGTAAAAAGCATAATTCTTTATGCCAATGATGTAATTCATTATTTAATTCTAATTTAATGATTTAATTATAATAATAATGAATTACAATATAACGGTGTATAATAATGAATTACAACATAACGGTGTGCAAGTAGAGCGTTAAGAAAAAATGGCCGATCATTTGAAGTTTAAGTTTATCAATATCGCATTGACCGGGATGAGGCTGATATGAGCAATTGCTAAGTATTTTCCGATGACCGAGTTAGCGAGGCATTGTTCGTAGCTGTACGTTTAAGTATGTACGGTTGCAATAACCTTGTGGCGAAACAATGATGCTACTTGAAAGATTACAGAAGCACCAAGCGTAGCTATCCGACATTTTCGTCAATCAATTTTAATCGTTTTAATCAATTAATCAGTCGATTTTGTTAAAAAGAAACATTCACATGTCACACTTACCGTGTCGAAGAGCTCGATGATTTTCGCTACGAAGTACCACCACGCGCTCTGCAAGAACTGCCCATCCAAAACGAAGGTGCGTTAAAAAAATATAGAGACAATTTAACAATAACGACTGCTGTGCGCGGAGATCAAGGGGAAACAGTGCTTACCGGTTTCTGTAAGTTCCTTTGGATCGGCATATTTTGAGTAGTACAACCGTGAAAGATTATTAAATCCTCATAATTGACATACAGTGCCTGAAATCAATTAATATTTTATCGATGCCGAATGTCACGTGCGAAAAAATCATTGTCTATGCGATCTTTGTGCCTTCGATTTTACTTTTAAACGATCGTTTGTTATCGACGCATATATCCTGTGAATAAATTCCTTCCGAATTCATAATCGTAATACAAAATTCGTTTATAAACGAAACAAATGGATTGAATCTACTGAAACAGTCTCCGATATTTCTTCTTTACTCAAAGATATTAACCCAAAGAATATTAGGATGTTTTTGTTATCTCCATCAGTAGGACGGGTGAATCTTCACCCGTAATTTTTTTATTATTTCTGTTGAGTGTATGTGAACTACAAACGTTTGGTAAAAATTTGCAGCAGTGTGTAAAACAGCTTCAAATCATACGCAATTTTTTTAAAGGAAAAATAATAACCTTTTACTGTAAAAAAAAACTTTTTTCATTTAAGCATAAATGGTCTAAGCAGTTTATGAACATTACAAGTCCTCCCCTTAAAAACACAAAAGATATACATCAACTTTGGTTCACGTAATTAAATTTACATTTGTCTGTGTAAAAAGCATCATCGGCAGAATTTTCACCTAACCTAGTGTTTAATGAATTTAATTATTTAATGAATTTAATTACTTGATTTAATTGATGTGATTAGTTAATTTAATTAATTAATTAATTAAATTAATTTAATTAGTTGATTAATTTAATTTAATTAATTTTTAATTGGTTAGATATCAATGCGTTATGTCACGCGCGAGGACAAATCCGCTTAGACTCACCAGCGATGCTAGCCAAATACTGAGGAACACTTGGAACGCGTTGTATAATATTAAGATAGTATTCAGCTGAAAGGCCGGTCTCTTCTCCATCATTTTCGGTCCGGCTTTTAAAACGAAAATCAGATACGTCCCAACGATACACAGCATCGGGCCGGGTGACCCCATTAAAGGCCACGTGTCTACTATCGGATCTACAGAAGAGTATAATTCGTGAAGAAATGACTGCAGTAAGTTCGACTGTATAATTTACTTCTCTTCGGTGTTGCATTCGGCCGGCGGAAAAATTTGAAGAATGTGCGTTAACGCGCTATTAATTAATTGTTAATTACCGCGACAGCCTGCGCGCGTTGCAAATTGCGATTTTCATGACAAACGATAAACATACGGACGAACGTTCTTCCCTCCCATCGAGAGACGATGCGAAACAATCGCTACTCACGATTGTTTAGCATTTCTAAGTGAGATTCGTCAATTTGCGTGTTGGATAAAAAGTTTTTGGCTGTGGTTCTTCCTGTTGGCTACAAGATTCGTCTGACTTTGTAAGTAATTGATCGGGTAAACATTTTTTTCTTTTTGTACAACTTGTGTGACAACAACTTACTGTGCAACTTAATGTGTTAGCACACTACAGTTTGTAATTATGCATATCGCGTATTTTTTTATCGCATACTCGTTACACCGCATACCGCATTTTATCTTTCGAAAAAAACTTCATTTTTCATTGTTTCAAGTTGTTCGTTTCGCAAAGTAGAATTCGCGCTACCGCTTGTACGAGAGAATATTATTTTCTTCTTTTTGTAACGTTGCTAGAGAGTTACCTTTTATGTTCTTCAGGAATTCGTTATAATTGCTGACTACGCGCTTTATGATACCAGCCATGCTGATACTCGTGGCGTTCACGCAATAAGAGGAATCTGAAATACAAGACAATATGTTTCTTCGACAATGTCATGCGTCATTAACACGTCCGGTGTATGCGCCTCGCGAAAGCCGACCGGGCCTCATTGTCATTTGCGCGTAATTCTTCTCGCGTAATTCTCTGCGAGTGATTATTCGCGCCTGCCTCATCAGAGGCCTCTCGCCTTGGCGCGCTTTTGAGATTCTCAAATACCGATATAACACAAGCATCTCGGAGCACAAGTTCATCTCTACACACGGAGAGAAAAATTGTCTCGACGAGCAAAGGCGCGTCCGAAGGTCGAAAAATGTCCGGCTTCGGTTCGCGAGGCACCAACCGAAATTGCACTTGGTTCACACATTGTCACGTTGAGTTCAAGCGAACCTTTCACTCGGCGCATATAATAGAAGAAGAATACTGTAGACAAGACAAGAGAAAAAGAAGCCCAGCAGCAGTGGTGAAGCAAGAGAGTCCAAATGCAAGTTTGTTGCAAGTCGCACCAGTACTTACTCTTTCCGATACAAGCAGCTAAAATGATCCAACGACGGGGGATTTTTCCTCAATTACGCGAACTCGAGTGGCTGCACTGCGCTCGAAATTATCGTTAATGACACGCGCGCGAACGAGTAAGGTAACGATAAAGAACTGCTAACATACCGGGCTGTTCACCGATCTCCGATCAGAAGAGAGACGCGGCCTATCAAAAACTGAGCGTTCTCTGTCGTGCGCGCCCACCAAGAGGACCACGTCCTGCAAACGTGTCTTCGATCCCCACCGCACTTCTGTCGAACCCGCGACTTCCGTCGTTCCCAATATCGCAGTTACAGATACCGGCGACACAGAGGTGAGGCACGCGTGCAGGCGAATGCCAACTGAATGAGACTGCCTTGCTTGAATAAGCCAATTGAATTGATGCTTCGACAAAATAGGGAAGTGAGGGGACAAAAAAGGGATTGGGAAAAGGAGAAAGGATGCTTATATTCAAGCGCGAGAAGGTACGACAAGTAGGCGGCCAGGTGGGCCAAAGCGGGCAAAGTCGAAGAAGAACTCACCGGAGAAAAGGAGAACAGTGAAGGAATTCGTAAGGATGACCGTAAATAAGTAAGCGTCACGTACTCACGCATCAAGTAGCTTAAACAAGCGTGTTTAGAATGGTTTTGAAGGGAGTGATAAGATATAGTAATTAGTGCAAAGTGGTCGGAACTAAAAGTCGTCGGACAAGATCCCGCAAAATGACGCGAATTGTTCGACACAAAAAATGTTTTAAATTATTTCCAGTAATTCGCATAATTCCACGAGCAATTTTTTCAGTTATACCGTTATTATCACTGATACAAAGACTTAACTCCTTAACTCCTGCTATTGAAAATATCATCAAGTTTTCCTTTTCAATATTTCAAAATATATTAGGTAAATAAAAAAATATTTCAGACAAAAATTGTTCAAATTCATTGATAGAAAAAGATGACATAATAAAAAATGGGGGTTTCTGTTTAAAAAAAATAAGTTGACCTTGACTTGACCTTGGCAACGCCACTCAATGTCAAACTGATCAGTAAATACTTCGTTTTAAGTCTTATAATTTTTGTCTGAAACACTTTTCTGTAAAACTTATATCTTTCTGATTTTTAAGGGTCCATCTTTTTTCCTCATCCTGTACATACAGGGTGTCTTATAACAAATTTGGCAGAGTTCGTGGAGACAGAGCGGGTTAAGACAAATATAAAAGTCCCATATCGTTTTGTGAGATTCGCAATAATTATCGAGTTATTAATGACAGAAATCTGAGGAATGAGCGCGCGCCGAGACGTTATGGGAGGAACATCTAGCCGCTTAGGCTAGAGAGCATTGCCTAGTCGACAAAGAAACTGTTGCCGGAGCGCGGCGAGAGGAAGGATAACGTTTATGTCCTTACCTCGCTGCTCCTACATCCCGCCGCATCGCGTCTAAGCTCGCACCGATATGGCCGTTGAATATTCGCGATTACAATTACGAGATTATTTTATGAGGTACCACAGATAGCTCATATTGAATTGTAAATTGTAAAGTTCAAGGTTCAAAAGTTCTTTGATCAAGGAAAACATCGAAAAGGAGAAAGAGATAGAGAGCGATGAGATCTACAGAGATTCTCATTGTTTTATATCGCAATCTATCGTTTTGCTGCATCGGATCCGAAAGAAATGATATCGCGTAAAGATAGAGTACGATGAACACTTTTCATCGTATTCTATTGTACTCTATCGTTAGGAGAATATTTAATGATTATATTTCGCGCCCCGTTCTTCAGATTACCGTGTAGTACTCTTCTCGAGCCGCGAGGTGTCACATCGGTTTGGAGATGACAAACAACCGCTCACGCCCCCTGGCCTCCTGCGTATCGTCTTCATATTGTTTCGATGTGCGTAAGGTTTCGCATCGGTCACCTTTAGATTGTGCGCAATAATGAAAAGAAAAGCGGAGAAAGACATAAGGCATATGAAGAAAAAGATGGAGCGAGAGTTGCAAGAATTAGAGAGAAAAGGAAGTGAAACAGATGCTGAGAAAATAGGAGAGAGCGAACTAAATGAGGATTACGAAGGTAAGAGAGGTTAAGTGTAGTACATCTGCCAGCCTCAACGACACAAAAAAGAAATAAGGCCATGCAATATCCTCAAAAACGGTAAAGAAACAAGCGCGTGCACGAGCGGCACGACAACACAAAGTTTATAATGCGCTTGCACGAGAGGCAAGACAAGAACAAAAAAAAATATATATATGTATATACATAGAGAATATACATACATTAGTAAAGTATCAAATAAAATTAATGACCTGGATCACTTGATACAAAAGAAAGTACACAAGTAGATGCGTCAATATTAGAGATCATGGGAGAGGATCCTACAAAACCTCAGTATACAGAATTGGAAATACACCAATCCTTTTTAACAAGATGGCAATACTAGGCCCAAAGGGGTATATCAGAGGCAGAAAAGCAGGAGTTACTCAAATGCAGGGTCAGCCCTGGTGGCTTTAGGTGCAGCTATTACTAGCTGTGTAAAAGAGGAGAGCATAGATAAACTAGATTTTTTAGAAAAGCTATTGGATGCAGCTAAGTTATTGTCAGATCTACACTATAATCAAACACAATATAGAAAATCGGTCATAATGCCGGGGCTATCTAGGGAGGTCAAAGAAGTTTTAAAAAACTACGATATCTGACAAATATCTTTTTGGCGAGGACTTAGCAGATAAAATAAGAAATGCAAAGTCCTTAGAAAAGATGGCTCCAACTGTAAGGGTCCAGCCTCAAAATGCCACACAAATCCCATCATCAAGGCAGAATTTAAACTCAAGAGGCCCTCTGGGGATAAGGCCTTACCCAAGACATGGGGGCAATATGCATCAGGACAGGCCAAACAAAGATTGTTCTTCAAAAAAAGAGGATCCAACTTCAATCAAAGACCAGGTCAGACCTTGCAGACTCGGGGGAAATTCAGAACAATACAACAAACCAGATACCGTTAAACGTTAGTATTGCTGGAAGACTAGCACATTTTATCAAAAATTGGTTAAAAATAACGCAGAGTAAGACTATATTAGAATACATTATCGGTTATAGAATAAAATTTTATAAAAAAGTTTACCAAGTTAAGGAGCCTAAAGTAAGATTCGAATCAAGAAAAGTTTTAAAAAATGTAAAACAAGCGGTTAGAAAACTATGTGAGAAAGGAGCGATCGAAACTTGTAGAGGTAGCAAAAAGCAATTTATATCCCCATATTTCTTAACACAAAAATCAGATGGATCGCATAGATTTATTCTGAATTTAAAGGAATTAAATAGGCTTATTCCTACGGAACATTTTAAAATAGAAGATATAAGAATCGCCATGAGCTTAGTATCTTCTAGCGATTTTATGGCGCATATTGATTTAAAAGACGCATATTTTTTAATCCCAGTTCACAAAAGAAGCAGAAAATATTTAAGATTAAACGTTAGTCCAAGGATTTTTACCAAAATTCTAAAACCGGTAATGAATCAACTAAGACGGAGGGGTTGGAAATCAATAGTCTATTTGGATGATATCCTCTGCATCGCAGACAGTTTTGACAAGTGTAGCAAGAACGTGAAAAAAACAATTAGCTGGTTAGAATCGCTAGATTTTGTAATAAATAAGGAAAAAAGTATGTTGACGCCTGAAACAAGATGTAAATTTTTAGGCTTTATAATAGATACAGTTAGATATATTTTAGAATTGCCGGACAAGAAAAAAGCGGAGCTCATAGACCTTATAGAGGTGATATATAAAAAAAAACGAGACAGTCCAATATCTGAATTTGCAACACTTATTGGAAAACTAGTGGCAGCTTGTCCAGCAGTAGAATATGGCTGACTATATATATAAAAAACCTTGAAAGGGAAAAGTTTATAGCATTAATGGTCAATGATGGAGGCTATAACCAAAAAATGCTAATATCTAGACACATCTTACAGGATTTAAATTAGTGGAAGTCCGGATTAAAATCGGCATATAGTAAAATCAAAAGAGATACGTTCAATCTAACAATATTTACAGACGCATCAGATACAGGATAGGGTGCTACAGACGGGTGTCAACAGACACATGGTTATTGGAACAAAAGTCAGAAAGCTCATCACATAAATTATAAAGAACTTTTAGCAGTGAAATATGCCCTAGAGGAATTACTTTGCTTGCCTGCAGCAAGCAAAGATTGTAAAATCTTATTAAGAATAGATAAGTCAATAGCGATCGCGTATATAAATAATATGGGAAGCGTTAGGTTCCCAGAACTTAATAATCTAGCAAGAAATATTTGGCAATGGGCAGAAACTAGACGAAATTTTTTAGTGGCTTCATATATATCATCAAAACAAAATAAGGAAGCTGACGAGCTTTCAAGACTAACGAATGATACCGAATGGGAGTTAACAAACTGGGCATTCCGAAAAATTGTCAGTGCGTTCGAAAAACCCGAGGTGGATTTATTTGCGACACCGGCAAACAAGAAATGTGAGGTCTTTGTGACCAAATATCCTGTACCTGATGCAGTACAAATAGATGCATTTACCATGAATTGGTTCAATTCATATTTCTATGCTTTCCCACCATTTGCAATAATACTAAAAGTGCTACTAAAGTGCTACTAAAAGAAAAATTAGAAACGACAAAGCTACAGGAATTTTAGTTGTTCCAAATTGGCTAACACAGCCGTGGTTTCCCTTATTCACAGAATTACTAATAAGCAAACCACTAAATCTTAGATCGAACAATAACTTATTATTATCCATATGCAGGAACAGGGAACATTCACAAGGCAAATATATAAGTTTGATGGCAGGAAGAGTATCGGCCAGGCATTTAAAAAAAAAAAAAAAGTACCTAACGAAGCAATAGATATTCTGCTAGCGTCGTTATCTGAATCAACACTTGCACAGTATGAATCTGCGTTAAAGATATGGTAGTTATTCTGTGAAAATTCAAGAGAAAGGTTTTTCAACCCATCAATAGAAAAAGTCCTCAGTTTCTTAATAGTTTCGAAAATGGATCATATGCTACATTAAACACTTATCGTAGTGCAATTTCTTTGATATCAAATAATAAAATAGGAGGAAATGAACTTATATGTAGATTTTTAAAAGGAGTGTTTAACAGAAAACCACAAACACCTAAATACTCACATATATGGGACGTAACAAGGGTATTAGAGTACTTAGAAAAACTAAATCCGTTAGAAAGGCTTTCATTTATTCAGCTAACAGAAAAGACAGTTGCCTTGTTAGCATTATGTACAGCTCACAGAGCACAAACTCTAGCCTCCATAAAAATAACAAATATTTACAAGACAGGAAACAATATTCACATAAAAATAGAAGACAGAATTAAAACTTCGGGGCCAGGAAGATTTCAACCCTTGCTCGTACTCCCTGAATTTAAAAAAAAGCCGAGCTTGTGCATCGCAACAACTTTTAATAGATATCTACAAATTACACAAAGCTTACGAAGCCAAGAAAGCAACTTATTTATAGTCATAAAGAAGCCATTTGTAGCAGTAGGATCACAAATAATAGCAAGATGGATCAAAAAAGGTCCTCCAAAAAAGTGGCATAGACGTTTCAAATTTTAAAGCCCATTCTATAAGACACGCGGTTACCTCTGCAGCATGTGCAAAAGGCATAAGTTTTGACACTATTAGAAGAACAGCGGGCTGGACGGAAAAATCGAAAGTCTTCGCTAAATTC